GGCGCCTCCGTGCGCTCTGCTGTCAGCGGACGCGGCGGAGACGGAGGCCCGAATGGCCCCCGGGGGCGTTTGCACGGGGACCTGGGAGGCTGTGGGACACCTAGGGGAAGACCCCGCTGTGAATTTTGGGGACTCGGAAAGGAAGGAGAAGGCTGGGGCGCATGGGTGAGACTTGAAGGAAATCTTTGGGGACTCGGAGACACCCAGGGGAAACTTCTGGGTAGGGGACAGCGACCATCTGGGGGCTTTGTTGGGGACGAGGTTGAATTATCTCTTGGGAGGGGAGCGTGTTAGACTCGGGGAAGTAGGGTGTTTGGATTGTCTAAGGTACTGGAGAAAAAGCTGGAGGAAAATGGAAGGACTTGAGGGACTGAAATGCAGAAGAGGCGAAGGGAACAGGTGCTTGGATTGTTAGCGAAGTTTGGGGACCTTGGAAGAGGGTTGGGGTCAGACCCCAGCACCTGAGAGGAGAGGAGCTCCGTGGTCCCAGGGGAGGAGCCCAGTTCACCCTCCCAGCCCTTTGTCTCTCCCGTGTCCAGGCTCCAGCAGCCCTGGCGGGGCAGTCAGCCCTCCCCGGGGTGGGGTGGGCAGCCCATGCCAAGCCTTGCAGGCTGGCCCTTGGAGAAGTCAGTAGGGGAGAGGAGGCCGGCAAAAGAGCACCCTTCTGGGGGGCGTTGGGTTGGGTGGCCCTCATTGGTGGCTGGCTTGAGGTTTGGAACGGTGGTGAAGGGAGTCCTCGCCGTTTTCACACGACCCTAGCCAGCTCAGGGTGTGAAAGGTCCTAGGAAGTACTGCCGGACAGGGATACAGGGGTATCTGGAGGCACGCCTACCCGGGACCTTGTTCCCCTGGCTTTCTCCTCCTGTGGCTTCCTGAATCATCTGCTGGGATGCACGGTAAATTAAGCCTTCCTTCCCGGGAGCAGTCTCCTACTTTTCCTGGAATATGTATTTCAGATGAAGATGGGTGTGGGGGCAATTGGTCTGTCTTTTCTCTGGGAAATGGCAGCAACATGATCTGGTCAGATCTGTTACCTTTTGCAGGAATTGCACTGTGCACTGACAGTCTGTGGTTCCCTGGATGAATCGGATCTGCTGCTCTCAGTGCTCGCCCTGGCTCTTTTATTGTTGGAAGTGAAAGATGAGGCAGACATATTCTATTTGTATATAGATACCTATATTTTAAAACAGTGACCTCCACTATTTGCCTGTTTCAGCCAGTTCTTCAGAGTAGGGTGTGTGTGTAGTCGACCGATGGTGGTAGAGAGACGCTTACGGTCTCCAAGAATTTAAGAATATTTGAATTGATGAACAGAAATAGGCTTATGGAGCTCCCCCATTTTATTTTAATTGCAGGCTTATTTTTATTTCTTTAATAAAATGGGCTTGTGAAAAAGTAATGGGCATGCATTACTAAATAAAAGAAAAGAATTTCCCAAGTTTGATTTCTGTGCCCTCTGAACAGTTCTGCAGCCGAGTTGGTACTCCTTGCGCCTGATGATTTACATGTATCTTTTATTGCCTGCTGGGCTGTCGTCTCTGTGAAAGAAATTTCTTTGTACATTGCGTGAGATCCGTGGAATTGGAAATATTCTGGACTGTGGACTCAAGTGCATTTTTCCTAATACAGAGGCCGAATCAAAGTTAGGTTGTACTTAATTAAGGAACAGTTAAACTAAAAGTGTAGTGTGTTATCTTATTTTTAAAAGTCAGAATGATTTTCTCTGCCATGTTGCCATAGTATTGTGTTGCTAAAACGTCCAAAATTCTTTTGGATTCTGTGTTTTTACTAGTGTTAATGGCTTCCAGTTACTTGAAGCAGATATTTACTGGGGAAATGTTGCCATTTAGTGTTTTTTAGATGTTAAACTTGATAAACTTACTTTTCATAAAAGTAATTCTTGTAAGAAGTATATTTCTCACACGTGAAGGAAGGAGGAGGTGCTGCTCAGAAGCTTGTCTTACTGTTAGATTACTTCAGACCGAAACATTTTTCTCTTAAATCACAGGCTGATACTCAGAATGCAAAGCTTTATCACTTAAAACATTAATTGCACTCTTACGTAGGTCCAAAATTACAAGTGTTTTAAATCTGAAGCTACATGATTGTGAGGAAGCTTTGATTTTAAATCCAACCATCTTGTTATGGGCTATATGAAAGCGTTTTTTCTTAATTTCGTTGTATTTGTGTTTGCCTCTAATGCAACTGTGTTTTCAGCGGTTATTCACATTGAAGTTGGTATTTCGGCACTAAATTGTAGAGTAGGCCAGCATGGCGAACCGTAGCGTGCCATGTAATAGATACATTTTATGGTATCTCTAAACTGTAACAAGGCCTTATGTTTGCATAGTATTTTAAAGTTTCCAAGGCACTAGTTTCGTCCTCACACTTGCATTCCGGTAAGGCAGATGTTCATGTTTTCTCTTTTCAGGGAGGGAACTGAGGATCCCAGCCATCTAAGCTTGTGGGCAACTGAGATTTAATTTGAACTCTCAGGTCTTCTGTCTCTGAAGATACTGTTCTTTCTTATTTTGCCTTCCTAAAATGTTGAAATGAAATACTTCTCACTTGCTAACTTCAAACCCTGCAGAAATCAATATGATTAGTATGATTGTTTCCAACTGACAATGTATAGGAAATAATATATATCCTTTAGGAAGTTTATCCAGATTTTTCCAAAAAGTTTCTGTCTGCACTTGCCTTCTTTGCAGAAGCAAACATTTATGGTAGATTTATCTTCCAGGATTTTGATGCTGAGGCCAAGAGGCACTTTTGAATTAAAGCCCTCCTATGACCATTATATTAGTTTAATAATCAATGCATTATGATAATGAAACAGTTTATAGATGAGGTGTAGTCGTCCTTTAAAAATTCAATATTCGTAAAGATTGATCAACTTCCTAACTGAATTACTCTTTTTCTTTGTTGAGCTAGAATGACAATAAGAGATATACTCCTGTCTGGTATACATTGGCTTTTATGTTTTTTCCAGACTTGTGTTTCATGGTGGGCATTGATTGCTGATTTTATTTTCATTTTACAAGGATAACTGGTTCTCCTTCTCCACCTCCTAAATGAATTCGTTTCCCGAATATTTATTTATTTATCTTTTTGAGACGAAGTCTCACTCTGTTGCCCAGGCTGGAGTGCAGTGATGTGATCTAGGCTCCCCGCAACCTCTGCCTCCTGGGTTCATGTGATTCTTCTGCCTCAGCCTCCCAAGTAGCTGGGACTACAGGTGCTTGCTACCTTGCCTGGTTAATTTTTGTATTTTTAGTAGAGACAGGGTTTCACTGTGTTGGCTAGGCTGGTCTCGAACTCCTGACCTCATGATCTGCCTGCCTCAGCCTCCCAAAGTGCTGGAATTACAGATGTAAGCCACCGCTCGTGGCCTCTGAATTTGTTTCTCTAACAAAATTAGTGGTTAATGTTTATTTGATGTTAAAACTCAGTCAAAGAAAATAGGCTTTGGGATCCCACTCTGGACCCCCACTTAGTGCCTGTAGGGTGAATTGACATTGCAGTTCTTGCCAAGGAGAGGTTAATTGGAGATGAAAGTAGTGTTGCATGTTTTATATTTGCTAGTAGGGGATGTGCTGACTCTTACTAAAGAAACATCTTTAGAAATGTCTTATGCATTATAATTTAATCCAAGTCTCTGATATTGGTTTGGATGGTTTTCAATACAAGCCAAGTAACCATTAAATAAGATTACATAATGCTGTATTTTTAATTATCTGATATAATGTATGGATTGGTGGCTGGCTCACTGCCAAGTTACATTTAGTTGTCGTTGATTGCAAGAGAAAGTGGAGCAGGGGATTCAAGATTAAGGTGGTCCAGATTTGTGTCTAGGTTGATAAAAGTTTTTTGTTCGTATGTCAAAATGTTTTTTATATCAATTTCTCAAATATTACAACTCTTAGCATTACTTAGAATAAATGTGGAGGATAAAAATACATTAAGGAAGGATTATTACTTTACTTTATATACACCTCTTTGTAATCCACAAAACCCAGTGGCTTAAAACTTGATTTTTGGGGACCCGTTTTGGAAAACATTTCGGATTTGCTTGAATGCCACAGACTTGTAAAGTGAGAGAGTAAGAATGAGAATTGCAGAATTGTATTTAGGTATGGTGCCTTCATGCTGTAGTTTGTGATTTTCTGTTTTGTCCAAAGGAAGATGTGATTATTTAGTTTTTAGTTTTGTATTGTTTTTCTTTGTGTTATCAGGTTTTTTTTGTTTTGTTTTATAAGAAAATGCAATCCCTCAGTATTAGATATGCCATGTCTTGAGTTTTATGCAGTGTATTATGATTAAAAGTGACCCAGTGATTGGGAGGTACAGGGTTTTGGTACTGGACATTAGTTACAGGCTTCTAGAGAACCTGCCATGCCGGTTGTCTGTGTTAGGTCCTAGGGGTAGGGAGGAAAAACAGTCTGCACTGGTGAGAAGCTCCTGCTCTCCTCCGTGTGCATTTGAGAATGAGTTTTCAGTTTGTAGATGCCCTCTTTGCTAAGGGACATCCTAGTCCTTCAAATATGCTGAACTATTTAGTGATTGGATGGCTTAGATTTACTATTAATAAATCAGCCTGTGGACATTTTTGAGGCACTTGTTGGTACTGGGTCATGTTTGTAATCTCGATATTAGTAACAGCTCAGAGATGGAGAGGTTATTAGCCCAGGTTTTCAGTTGTAGAAACCAAGATTCTGACAACTAAAGTGACTTGCCCGTGGTGACATGCTTCCGGTAATAAAATGTCAGAGTGAAGGGTCAAGCTTTGTCCTTTTACAAGTTCGTTGTTCTTTTTACCATGCCCTACTGACTCTCAGAGGTCTAAAGGGCTAAGTTACTGGTCAACCTGTGGTGGTATAATTAGTGAATGACAGGAGGAGAATGAAAACCCTGGCTTTTTTTTATGTGCAGTTTGTTTTTTCTCTAGCCTGTGCTGAATTGAAAGATAAATTATATAGCATCCATTTTCATACTTCATTCTTCACATTCCTGCCCTAAGATAAATCCTCTGACCTTTTTCAAAATGGGTTGGATTGCCTATTTTCTGGTGTCACTTAACGCCTGGTGCTCTTAGGGTGTGATCCTCGTCACACTGCTTTGTTTGGATCTTTGTCTTTCCTGGTAAAGAGTGAGTTCCTTGGAAGGCAGGGCCTGGCCTTTCCTCTGTATCTTCAGCACCTAGCATAAGTCTCAGCACAGGGCCCTGGGAACTCCTGTCTTAATTTCAGTGTCATGTGTTAATTATCATTAAGGGTAGCAGAATCAGAAAGTATATTTGGAATTTAGCAGTCAGTGAAGAGCTTTGCTGCTATGGCTTTAGAGGACCTGAATTGGAGGTGGGGATGAAGTCATCAGTTCTGCCCGTATCAATGAAAGAAGGTTCTAAGTGAAATGCAGGGTTGAACAAGCAGAAAAACATCCCAGTGCTCTTTAAATGTGGTTGCACAGTAGGGATCCTTCTCTAGGAGATAATGAAAAGATGTTGTCAGATCTGCTTTGAATCAGATGTTTGTTTACTTTTATTCTTCAGGAAGTTATGAAATCACTGCACTCTCATCAATTCGCTCTCCTTCTCTAAACTCCTAATGATATTTCTGATGACAGATTAAAAACAGAATTTTGGAAACCCTAGTCACATGCCAAAGAAGGTTTCTTACCTGAGAGAGTTATTCTGCAGTTTCAGATGCCGAAGGGAAACTCAGAAAGCCAGAGGAGCGATTGAAATCGCAAATTGAACGCCAACAGCAACTTTGATATCAAAAGCCCCATTTGCCTGTTGTCACCAGTCCCACTGAGTGAAGATAGGATGACTTGCATCTTCTACCAAAACAATAGAAGGAGAGTGTTTCTTGGCATTGGGGATGATGGTTATTGT